ATGTTTAACTGGTCATTGTCCATCTCTTCTACAACTTTGAAATCCGTCAAATCGTAAGTTTTCGTTTTTCTTTTTCTCTCTTCAATGACATTAATAGCAGTTTTACTGTAAATTAAAATTAGCTTAATTACATAATATAATAATATTGTTGTTATTATTAGCAGTAATAATTATTGTCATTGTTAAATAATAATAAGTATTATTATTATTGGTTATTATTACTACTAAATTATCACTTTTATTGTTCTGAGATATGCACAAATAATAAATGCATTATTTTCTTATACAATTAGACTTTAAATAGTTACAAAATATTTTTTCTATCATTGTTATTGTTATAGCATTGTTTACTTAATTACAATATACAATGATTATTGTATTTATTGATGCGCACACAGACGATAAATTCATCATGAAATTCAATTATTTAAATTTGCATGAGTCATTACTATTGCTGTGTAAAATCAAAATTATTATCAAAAATATTTGAAATAATCGGATCTTTGCATGTGTGCGTACGGATGTATTTCTGTATAGATAAATTATAAAGGTAACAATTTTTCAAGTTATAGATTGTCATCGTCAACATCGTCATCATTTAGTCGAACGTTTCTCGAGAATATTACTCGTTCACCATTCTATCATTCATTCACATCACTTGATAAAACCAAATTATGGAGTAAATTTTATGTTGATGATGAGGAAAATGTCCAAGTATTTATTTCTTTATTTGTTTCCTTTATTTTTTTGTCTTAAATGTTTTTTTTCCAAAAAAAGAATTTTAGTAGTTAGTAATAAGAAAACGATTTTTTTTTTCTTACATTGTTTTAATATTTTAGTATCTTTGCTACAGCCCTGCGACATAATGCATTACATCAATGATAGGATACAATTCTAATATACTATGATAAGGACGACAATAAAATTAATTGATGGAAGGGATTATTTCAGAAAGTATTAGATGCAGTGTCAGTGGATCAAAAAGTGATTACAAACCCACATTCAAATCGACGACGACGTACGGTGATAGTTACTCGAAATAATGGAGAACCATTTGGTTTTACGTTACAGGTAAGAAAAAAAGGACTATAAATATGAGAAACGTTAGATGAAAAAGTGAAAATTGTAGAGATCGAATAAATTAGAAGTTGATTACTTTGCAATTATTAAACTTTTGTCCTAAAACTTCAATAAAAATTTTTTTAAATTAATTCTTACTTTCATTTTTCTTACAGACATATTTATTAAAACGTAAAGGTGATGATGTGCCATCAAAAATAACTTATGTAGATTATGTACAACTTGATAGTCCAGCTGCTGATGCAGGTGTTCGTGCAGGTTTTTTTTTTTTTTTTTTCATTTTTTAATTTTGATTAAATTTGAAAAAATCTTTGGTCAAGTTTCGAAAAAATGAGAATTTGTTAATAAGTAAATAGCAGTAACAATATAATATTATTGTTTATTTAAATTGTAGGTGATGTAATCATCTCAATAAATGGACATATTGTGACAGCAATGAGTCATGAAGAATTGATTGAATTAATTGGCTCATATCATCAGATGCGAATGATTGTCATTTTTGAAAATATTCGACAACGTATCGAATTAGTTGCTCGAGCGATTAAACTTCGGAAAATTTTAAACGATAAATTGTATCAGTTAAATTTGATTGATATTGAAGAACAGAAAATTTTGAACAGTTTGTTTTTTATTTTCTTTCCCTCCTGAACTATCAGTTTGAAATTAAAGTATTTTGAAGTAAAGGAAAAGTAACAATCTTTTGAAATTTGCTTGTAATTAATTTAATTGTTCTGAAGATTACTATACATATTTTACTTCTCATACATGTAAAGTACAACAATATTGAATACTTAATTTGATTTACTTTTCAGTTAATAATATTAAGCTTTTGCAGGGGCTTATTTACGTTCATTATCATCAATGACGAATACAAAGTATTCATTAACAAATTCGCTATCATTATCATCATCATTATCATCATCATCATCAGCTGGAATATCGTCCACTTCATCTGTTTGCTCGGTACCTTTAAATATTTCAAATGATGCGAAACGAAATATTATACGAGTCCCAACGATTATATCATTAACTGATGGAGTAATTGAAATCAACAGATATCCATTAAGAAGACAAACACTGGAACGATTAAAAATTTCCAACTCTAAATGGTTGACAAATAATTTACGATCGGATTCCAGTGACTCAAATGTTATTAATAACGGGATGGAATTTTTGGCAGTTCAACGAATTTGTTGTTGCAAGTCTCATTTGAATGTTGGTCATGCTAGCTCTTTGTCTTGTGATACGGGACAAGCTGTTAATCCGTTTGATTGTTTTAATAATTGTTGTGGTGATAATACTGATAATGTTATCGGTAGCAGCAATTACATTACCATCGAGAGTGATAATGGTGATAACGATTGTGATCGTGATACTACTGCTGTCGTTGACGTTCACAGGAGTGATATTGATAACGATGGGATTAATATCGTTAATCCTGCTTTGTCATCGGATAATATAATAACAGCAACAATATCAATTCCATTATCAAAATCGACGTTCGATTCTGTAGCCTTAAATCATGTGATTATGTTAGATAATGATGTTATTAGCGATGAGGATGACGATGATAATGATAAAATAAGGGTTCTAAAGTTATAAATGAAATTTTTGGTTTAGCTGTCAAAATAATATCGTTGATTTTCCAATATAATCGTCAAATATTTATGGAATTATGCAAATTATAAAAGCGAATTGAAATATCAGTTATCATTTATTCATCATACCTCATTACAAAACCATATCATTTTGTTTTTATCTTCCATGAATTGATAAAATCTCAATCATTTTAGCATTTACCTTCAGCATTTAAATTTCTCGAAATTCTTTAAAAAATTTTCATACCAATTAAAGAGATAGAATTAGTAAAATTTATGGAATTTCTGGCTTTATTACTTTAATTTCCAGATTTCAATATTTCAGAATTACTTTACGATTTCATACCAGCTTGTCAAATATAACTATTTTTTACCACGAAATATCCTTCCTATATATATATATTCCTTGTATATCACTTTTTTTTTGTAATAGAAACTGTGAAAATTTCAAGAATTTAAAGAATATTAATTTCTAGGAATTTTGAGTAAGTATATTTTTTGTATATCGATTTTCTATACATATATAAAACACATTTTTTTGTTGTCGAAATTTTCCACAATGAAAATGATATAAATCAATGATAAAATTTGAAAACTATTTTTAAAATAAAATTACAAAATAAATTTAAAATTTCGACATATGAGATTTGTTTTGATTCCAAAAAGATATGGAAATAATGAGGTAAGAGAATGATACTTCCTTTCTTATCTCCATACTAATTATCTAAACAGATGGATCATTTACAATCCGAAAAAGGTGCAATTGGTTTTTTAAGATTACTTCTTTGTTTGTTTATTTATTCGGGAAAAAGCAGAATATTGCCTTAAAATGCTTATCTACCAAGGACTTCCCAGTTTAATAATGTTTTTCAGTATTGAAATTTTAGACTAGTATTCTTTTCTTTTTTGATATAAATTTTTCTCAATAAATTTTCTTTTTTTCAAGTCATAATTTCACAAATTTCTTTCCAATTCAGAAAAAGTATTCATAATGGTTATTTAGTGTCTGAATTATAATTTTAGTCAGATTTTAAAAAATTTTGCTTTTTATTTTCTGTCCTTCATAATCATTTCAATTTGTGTATTCGTTAATTTTACCAGTAATAATAATGGTAATGTCAGGTGAAAAGCAAATTTTTTCAGAATTTACCCTATTTTTACCCTAAAATTAATTTGCATTTGTCCTCAATTTCCTTTCATTCTTTTTTTTTCTTTCTCCGTTTTTCCTTTTTTTTTTCTTTTTTTTTTTGCATGTTTTTAAACTCATTACACATTATTGTTAATTGCTAATGAGACACTGATAGAAATTTGTGGTTCAAATTCTTGAATGAATCAAATCCAAAATTTGATGTTTTGAAGTACTCTTCGAAAATTTAGTTCTTTAATTAATCTCCAATTTAAAGGATTTAGAGCGAAATAGGTAAGGTCCATGTTTAAATTCCTTTTATGTGAAGTTCACTTTTTAAATGGTTATCAATTAGCTGCCTTAAATTTTACTGGGCCTTTTATTGGCCTAACTTCTGTCCTTACTGATTATCATTATCAATTTCTGATAGTATCTCACTTTTTGCTGGTACAACTTAAACATAACATTGAAAAAATTTTTTTTTGCATATTATATGCTATAACAAAACATTATTAATCGATCAATTATTCATAAAATGGTTAATATTTATTATTTCTTGTTTCAATAAAAGCAATTATTTAAAATGAGACGCAAATTTTCGAAGTATTATGTAAATAACAAAATTTCAAATAAATATATAAAAATATTTGATTTTAATTTTCATTAAATTAATAAATGCTGTGATTTAAGAAATGAATATTGTAATTGTTATTGTTGTTGCTCGTCTTTTGCTGCTATTTGCATACCAAAGAAAGAAAGAAAAATGACTGGGTTCAAAGGTCATGACAAATAATAAGCGATACAGATGAATGAAGTATGAATGTGCTGGAAGGAACAAGTAGAGAAAGAAATCCATTTCATATTTATTATTCATGAAACGTTTTTCATTTCCGACCGTTTTACTAGCTAAGGCTGACAAATCCGTTTTTCTGCTTTACCATTTTCCGCCGCTCATCTTGCATCTCAGTTTGTTGTTTTCTGTCAGAATGGAAAAGAAAAAATTCCAATTTAAATTTTATTCATAAAAAAATGATACAGAAGTAGAAAATTTGAATAAATGTATAATAAATATTAATATTTATTTCGATAAAATTAGCAAATTTTAAGCAAAATCTAATTTCGATTAAAATTACTGAAAATGAAAAACGGAAAACTATCAAAATATGATTTGATTATCTTCCCTATATATATATATATATATCATATATCTATGTGAAACTGAAATTAAATGAATATTATCTGAACTTATAAAATCAGTCTCATTTAGGAAGTTAATAATTTCTGTGTAAGTAAAACTGAGCTGGAAGTACAATTACATAAAATTGTTTGATTGGAAATAAAGTCCTTTTTACAACAAAAAAAAAAAAAAAAATTTAATTTCTACGATAGTTACAAATGTTTTTTTAAAATGCTTTCAACTATTTTTTTTAATGAAAACGAAAACTTTTTGTTCCTCCTTTTTGTAACATATCAAATTTTATATATTTAATACCTCTTATTTTATTTCACTTCATTTTCGCAGAAAATAATTTTGTTTTTCCATTAAATAAAATTGATTTCATGACTTCAAATCCGTTTGGTTTTAATTTCATTTTAAATTTACATTTTAAGTTTAGTTCTGTTTTAAATTTGTTGAAGTTTTTTTCCTTTTTTTTTTCACCTTTTCTTCCAGTAATTTATCCGATTGTTTTTCTTAACTTTACAAATTTTTAAAACTTACCTTATTTGAGACATTCTGAATCCAAAAGGTAATATCGGCAAAAAAAAAAAAAAAACTTGTCCTACTTGCCCGGTAGTGTATGTGGTAATTTTTTTCCATTAAACACAATTCTTGAAATATTTATTGACTATCATAAATAAATGAAGCATTATCCGAGGAGTGTATTTGTTACTTCTGAGATTAAATTAAAACCCGTCGAACCTGATGTATTGCTACAATTTGTCACTTCTCCACCGTTATCACCCGTTATCATTTGCATTGATTGAGTGTAATCACTGATAGCCTCACTAAAAGTCTGCAGAAGAAAAAAGTGATAAGTTATCATCAGAAAATCATCAAACTATTTTTTTTTATTTCTCAAACTAATTTGATTTTTAGAGAAAGAATTTCTTATTCAACAAAATCATTGTTGTTTTTTTTTTTAAATGAAATATTCCCTCAACAATTTAATCTTCTCTTTTCGCTGATAATGACGCAAAAAAAATTTATGCAATAATCGCACAGTTAGAAATTTTAGTGAAATGTTAAGTTTTGAAAGTTAGCAAATTAAATATATTGACTTAAGGTCAAATTTACATGAATGAAAGATTATTTTATGTTAGAAAGAAAAATCATCCCGGGACTTACATCTGTCGTTGAATGTCCCGATGTATCAAATACAGTCGATCTGAATATTGAATTTGTATTTGTAGATTGTACAGCAGTTGATGGTTGCAACAATTCAGATGATGATAAGAGCAATTGAGCAGGTGTTGGTGTATAAGTGGAACCTAAATTTTAAATTCAAATTTGAAAATTTTCAACACATAAGATTAAATTATCAATAATTGGACTGATTATATTTAATAAATAAAAGCAAATTTGATATGCAACTATTTTATTGATAAGACATAAGAGTTCTGTTATTTTCAATTATTCAGAATACTTTGCTTGCTTGCGTACTTAATGATAAGATCAATGATTTAAATGTCATTTCAAGATAAATCAGCTTTCTTCTTTGAAGACTAAATGTCTTTTTCGGGATAGGACAAGACTGTTTCGGTACCTTAGATAATTACTAAATTAATAAATGAAACACCTGTAAAAGTCAGATCGTTGGAAGTAAAGAATGTTGGATATTCCATACGATTCCTTGCAGCTATCAAATTATTTTGTTCCATTTGTGATTGATAAAATCCATTGGAAATTGCTGTAGCATAAACTAAGAGCAAAAGAAAAAAAGAAAAAAAAAACAATAATTACAATTTTTTTTTCTCTTAACTTTTTGAACTAGAAAATGATTAGTAATTAAATAAGAAATATGGTGATGGACAATAATTTGATAACAATTTGCTGAAATAATATCTTTTAAATGTGTTATAAATCAAAAAATGAAAATAAGATTAATAACTGTAAAATCCGATATAAATTTCAATATGAATTATTCAGTTTTGAAAAACATTCCATCATTATAATCTTGTTTGAGAAAGGAAAAAAAAAGGAAGTTTCATGAGGATGATCTTCATGCTATCAGTTTAATGATAAAATCGTTATCATAATTATTAATTAGAGATTATTTCGAATGATAGCATTCTTTTCCTCGCAATCTCGATCAACTAACCGGCATTATTAGTCATATAATTTTGGTAGTACAAATCAGAGGACGATGATGATGGCCAATAGTTTGATTTTGTTGCCGATGACCAGTGATAACTTTGTTCATGTCGCGTTGTACCGGTAGTATTATCCGATGAAAAATATGCTGTTAATCCCGGAAAGCTGGTTAAATCCTCAAAAGGATATGTGCAATTCTATTCAAAGTGATTAATTATAACATAAATAGTTTGAAAATGTAATTAAGAAAGAGAATTATTAATTTGATGAAACCTGAGGTAATTGAAGCAATCCTGGAATCATCGATGGGTTGTTGATTCCCGATACACCGCAGATAACTGTAGCAGTAGTGGCAAAGTTTTCATTTTGAGTGGCAGCTGCTGTAGTAGCAACTACAATTTGTTGCTGTCTTTCATTTTCCATCTGAAAGTGCACAACAATTTTTTGAAAGGGTAGAAAGAAAGCAGAAAAAATATTTTAGGAATCTTGAAAAAAAAATGATTTGGAGCAGAACTGAAGCCAACAGAATAAGAATGACAAATTTTCACAAAAATTCAAATATTTTAAAAATCGTAAAAAAAAGTTTTGAAAGAAATAAAAAGTTTAAAATACATTTGTAGCTTACCTGTGTCTCTTTCAAATTATTATTTGTAGTTGGCATCATGAAGGTTGAATACTGAGGTACTGATAAGGTGGATGACTGATTAGCACTAATGCTACTGGTTTGTTTCTTTCGTTTACGTCCACGTATTGATAAATGTTGCTCCTGCTGAACTTCCGCTGCTCTCACCGATACTTGTGTTGGTATATTCCGGTTTACTGGTATTGATAACGACTGTTTCGATCTAAAAACTTCTTACAGTTCTTTTTTCTTTCTTAGAAATTTCTTGCAAATTATCGAAGAAAAAAAATTTTTTTTTCTTGCAAAAAGAAAAAAGACTGGAAGTTGGTTATTGAAGATTGTTTTATTTTTTTTACGGATAATTGTGAGTTGTAAACAATGCGCAATTATCGTATATTTCCTGCACATCTAAATACATACTTTTTATTATAGATCGTTAAATGTAATTACTAAGCATACGTAAGAGGAAAGAAAAACGTCTATTTACGTAGGAGTGCAAAATTTATTCGAAAAACAACTACGTTTTTCAAAATAATCTTTCTTGCCTATTTGATAAAATATGTGACGTGAGATGAAATGAAATATTTACATGAAGAAAATATCAAAAGAAAAGAAGAGAATACTCTGATACCATAGTATTCCAATATATTAGTAATTAAACGAAGCAAGTAAATAGATAAATAAATGAAGTAAGACTAATGATTTTTACCTTGTTGGCATTGCAGCAAATTGTGCATTCTGTCGTTTTGAAGTGGAACAACGATTCTTCTCTGAACCAATCATACAAAGCGATAATGATGTGACATCTCCTGTATAAGAAAGAAGCATATTTAAGATAAATTTAACAGACACAAAATTAGTAAAACGCTGCATCGGCCGGGAATCGAACCCGGGCCGCCCGCGTGGCAGGCGAGCATTCTACCACTGAACCACCGATGCCTTGTCAGTCTGCTGTTAATGTTACTTAATCAAATCTCAATTTTGATTAAAAATTTTTCAATTTCTTGTGATTAATATAATTGTACTTATCTTTACCACAGGAGGTTGATGGTAATGCTGCAGTGGACTGCAGATTGCTGGGTGACTGCAGCAGAGAATCATCAAAGGATAATAATTTAGCTCTTAAAGATGTGCGCTTTTCAAATAGCATCATCCCTTCAACTTCACTAAAAACAAGCAAAATTGCAAAGCATTTTTGACGAAAATTTACTAATAATTAAATAATCAATTTTTGTGGATTAAAAAAACTTCAAAAATAAAAATTATTATGATGGAAGTAAATGCATTTTTAATATAAATTTAATTAATTACATTTATGCATTCCCATTTTTGATCATATTTAAAATGCTTTATTATGAAAATACATGGATTTATTTGAATTACTAGGTGCAAAAAAAAATTATATGAAGCGGAAAAAAAGGACTCAAATATCTTTTTTGCTATAGTAACAAAGATATAAAATTAATCTGAAAATTTTTTCACTTTTTTTTTTCAATTTTATTTTATTGATAAAACATATTTGTAAAAAATATCCGAAAAAAATTAGCAAGAAAAAAGATCATTTAAAAATAAAAAAAACATTCATAATTTTTTTATCAAATAATAGCATAACAATGATTGCCAAATTGATTAAAATTTTTAATTTTGGAAAGTTAAAAAAAGAAGAAATAATAATTTTATAGAAAATAAACTTACGTTAAAAGTCGATGTGTTAAACCAATTGTTTCAGGTTTACCATTTTTATAAAACATTCGGCAACTGCTTTGAATCCAGTATACACGTTGACTACGTATACTTATTAAACGATAAATTAATATGCCACTTGCACTATTTTTTGTTACTGAAATTTTAGAAAAATTTTAAAAATATAACTTTTTTCTGGCAGTTTTTTTCCTTTTAATTTGTTTAATGTGCTTTAATTATATATATATGAACATTTATTGTTATTGTATATTTCATTGAAATTATACTTTTTCATTAATTGCTTCTTTCTTCTTTTTTTGTGTTCAAATTTTCTATTGATTTTTTTCAAGTATGAGTTAGAAAGTTTCTGAATTTTATTAATTTTGCTAATTGAAATTTTCTGAAATATATTAAATGGTTATGCAATATTTTATTCTTTATAATTAGAACTTTTCTTTAATATTTTCATTAATTATCCTCTTCTTCACTCACAGATAAATTTAGTTGAAAGCAAAAAAAGAGAAAATAATTGGAAAAAAGAGCAACAACTATTATTAATTCCATCTGTTACATTTTTAGTAATGTTAATAAATTTTGAATTTTGCGGTCTAAAACTGACCACAGGAGTCAATAAGATTGACCACTGGTCATTCTGTCCAGTTTATTGATTCATATTATGGTTGATAATTAATGAAAGAAACCTTCTTTATGTGCTTCAGCAATACATGTTGCATCGTCAACATGAACTAAATTATAAAAGCTATATGGCAAATTTTTGTCATCCAATTCTAACAATGCTCTGAAATGTTCAGCAAATTAATTGACAGAAAAAAAAGTAAAAGAAAAATTTTATGAAATTTCTTTTTGTTTAAATTTATATAAAAAAATTAGAAGCAGACTTCATTTGATTATCAGTTGAAACAAGCGTAAAATCAAGCGAATGCTTCGTTTTCAAGATTGGATCATCCATTTGTTGCTGATCGGCAACATTTGGCGGAACAAACGGACTAGAAATGAAGAAATTTAAATAACTGATAATGTTTGATGATAACTTCAAAATATATATTTGAAAATGCTATATAAAAAGAAAAGAAATTCGCAGCCTATTGAAAAAGTTTGTCGGATGACAGATATTATAAAATCGGATGCTACTATGTATACCTGCAAACGGCAACTAAGCCAAGAACCATATTACCGGAAGAATGATTTTCTATCCTGTTCAATACGTAAGAATTCGGCAAACCATGAAGACTCATTAGCTTTCCACGTACATCTATCCTCTATAAAAAATAAAAAATTTTAACTTAACACTTCTTATCACAGATATGTTAAATGCAAACATTATAAATCTATTTTACGTGAAATAATTGCTTAAACTATTTTATATATATTTGTGGATTTGCATAAATTTAAATTAGTTTCATGTTTACAATAAGAGATAATTAAAATTTGCAACAAAACACGAAAAAACGAACGAGAAATCCGCAAGTGTTATCCAATAAACAACGAAATCGAGCATTAACATTTCGTTCTAAATAAGGCATACCATCTGAAAATAAATTTTAAAAGTAATCAAATTGATATAAATTATTTTATTGTATATATATATATATATATAATATTGATATTAAGATGATAATTAGTTCATACTGGGTGTAAGAATATCCTGTAAACAGGTCATATGAAGTGGAACATTGTAATTCCAGGCTAATTGCAATCTGATATCTTCCCGATCTTCCGAATGTATCATTTCAAATAAAGATTGATGAAGGATATCTGACTGAAAAGACATCTGATAATTTATCATCTATTTTTTTTTTTTTTTAGAAAATGGAGTAATACAATTGATGAAAAGGTTATTTTTAATTTAAAGGAAAATCAAATACTTGTGCATAATTCTTAATCAAATAACAAAACAATCTTTTTTCTGATCAATCACAATCAAGTATCAGCATAATTTTATGCTTTTACTTAATTAGTAGCAATAGCGATTCCACTACTTTCATTAATCATTATCAGTTATGCAACTCATATTTGTTCAAATTTTATTTTAATTTAAAAATTTGTTTGGAAATTATTACATTCACAGCATGAAATGAGGTATTAAAACTTAATAAAATTTTTTTGTCTTTTTTACTATTATGAATTTATTTCTAATTACTTGATGAAAGCCGAGATAAGTTTCAATATTTTCTGATACATAATAAATATCACCATTCTCATTCAATATCAAAATAAAACCACCAAGTGCCTGAAATTCCATCAAGTCAAACAGTGTTTATTTGAAATTTAATAAATTTCAACACCACAAAATCAATAACAAAGTTAGTAAAAAAAACTAAAATGATTTAATTTATCATCAGCCAATAGATGAATAATTAGATATATTGAAGTTAAAATTAGGAAATTATCAAAATGAGGTTAGAATTTGTTAAGCAAAAATAAACACATATCTTAGCATTAGAAATATTGAAATTAAAATTTCAAAAGTTTAACCTTTAGAGCCATACTTTCGAAATCATACTCATTTGGATCGATCAAAGATTGTCCTGAGCAATGATGAATAGCTGTTGGGATACCGCCACCGTATGAAATTGTCGCATCACTGGTTGGAATAAATGGGTAACTATGCGCGAAAGCAAATGGAAAATTTGAAATATATCGATGTAAGCATGCTGAAGTTTATGTATTTTAATTGATTTGCATGAAATAAAAAAAAGTACTGCAAAAATTAGTGATAAACTTAAAGAATATTAAATAAAAATTTGATAAGAATTTCAATTTAATTCTAATAATACTACAAGAAATAGCAAATTTCAACGATATTTCATTGATTTCTTCGAAATTTTCTACCAAATTAAAAAATTTTAGTTATTTTAAAAATACATTAACTGAATTTCATCTGAGTTATAAATTTATAAACAAATGGACGTTGAAAAATTCATATCTAATTAAATAGAACTGAATAGACTTGAAACAAAATTTCACAAAAAATATTATTTTTTCAACCCTTTAATATATTTATTAAACATACACATATCTTGCTAATAGTAATTTCAAGATAATTTCAAATTTCTTTCTTCAATTTTCTAAATAGTTTATCAAGAAGAAATCAATTCTGCTAGCACACATTGCGTGCTTTAAATATATAAATTTTATTTTGATTATAAAATAATCTTTTTTACAGTGGTAAACAACAGTTTCAAAAAAAAAAACTCATTAAAATTTTTTATTTATTTATTAAAAAACATTTGTCATTATATTATACGATACTAATATCATTAACAGCATGCTTAAATTCACTTTGAAATTGAAATGCCAAAACAAAAAGTTTTTTTCATTTATAATATGATATTAAAATTTCCTTTTTTTTGTTCAATTCAATCCATTAACTAGTATTTTAATTTTAAAACAGTGAAATTCAAAAAGGAAAGAGAGAGATGTTAACCTTTTTTTTTTTCAAAAGCTTTTAATTTAGTTTTTAACATTATAAATAATTTCTGCAAATTTTGTTTTTAAAATACTTTTCATAAAATGACAAAAAGGAGTAAGAGATGAAATGATAGCATTAGAAGGTCAAATATTCCAAATTAATTTAGAATGACAAGAAAAAAAAAAAATTGAAGAAAGTTTTTTTCTAATTAGAATGAATTATCATTTTTTTAAATAAATGATGGTGAAAAATTAAGCAAACTCTCTTCTTTTCCCTCAATATGGCTTTAATTTGTTGAAATAGTCATCATCTTATATTTGCCAAGTTAATGTCATTGGATGTCATCAAAGTTATTTTTAATTGTAAGGTTTGTTCATCACAGCAATTTTGACAACTTTTATTTGACACACTGACAGATTTATCATCATCCTACAGTGATATTTTCCATTCTTAAGTCAGCTAAACACAATACTTAGTTCAAATTTCACCTTATGCTCTCTCCCGGTTCCTCCCGATCATCAATCAAATGTCAAATATCTGTCACAGTATTTCATATAAGAAATCATATCGCATGTGATGAAAAACTTTTCACACATGCAATGCTTATATCAATTTGATGAGAATTGAAATTTTCTGTAAACAAATTAAACAGATCCATTGTTGTTTTGAAAAAATAAATGAAATGAATAGTAATTCATTAGATAACAATAAAAATTAAATAGTAGAAATGATTTGAAAGAATTAAGTAACAGTAATTATTCGTCTTTAAAGATGAGATGAAGCGTAATAATATTAATAAATAAGTGGAGAAAGTAAGTCGATAAAAAAGTTATTACCAACAACAATAATTATTAGTGATAGATAAGCAATTTAGAATCACTAAGAAATAGAATGATTATTAAAATTAATTTAAAAAAAAGAGCAGGTAATGAAAAGTGTAATTTTTTATAGCTTTTGATAATCGTAGTAGATAACAATGAAATATTTTTTTTTAAAGAAACATTTAAATAATATTTAAGAATGTTTTAAAAAAAAAAAAATAAAGGGAGAAAAATATTTAAACGAACACTTATAAGTTGACTGAATGAAATATTTCCAATTTATGATTACTTATAACAAAATTTTAGTATCAAAAACTATTATGACCACAAATTGTTAAAGAAATTTCAAAAAAGCCAAATTGAAAGCATTTAAAAAATCTTGAAGTATTTGAAGTAAAATATCTAATAAACTTTATTATAATCTTTATAAATTTTTACTTTAAAAAATTTTCTATCTAATATATTCATATCAAATCACAAGATTGCAAAAAAAAAAAATTTGAAAAAAAGAATACTTAATAATAGGTTATTGAATGAATAATATGTTCGACAATATACCATTCATATAAACCGAAAGACGAATATATTATTAAATTCATCCTTTTCTCTTTTCTTTTCATATAAATTTTTATTCAAAATTGACTAGAAAAAATGAAAAGGAAAAAAAAAATTATGACTTTTCAATAATTTTGGGAAGTAATTAAATTTGTTCAATAAAACAAAGAAAATTTTCAAAATTTATTTGTTTATTTAAATCTGTGTTTTTTCTCTCTAAATAAAAAGTTTGTTATCACAGAATTTTATTAATTATTAAATTTTAATTAAAAATTGATGCGCTGAATTATGCATAAAGTGGAATACTATTATACAATTATCATTTATTTCTCAAAGTCGTAAGATATGTAAAAAGGATAATTTCAATTTGAAAATGTTTTCGAATCCAAATAAAAGATTATGTGATTTTATCTTTTGCTTACATTATTGTATTTTTTTGTAAGCTTCATACGATTAATGTGTGAAAATTGCCAATATGGATGATTAATTTATGCAATAGTTAGTAATTAAATACTTAATTATATCCTAAAATGATCATATAAGCCTCATCATACCTTTCCTATGCTTCGCTGAACAACTCACTTATAAGGAATCGAATTATGAAGCAGGTGTTTACCATCAAATACCAAAATTTGATCTGAGGATAAATTCTAGCTGATAGATTAAGGAAAACACATACACACTTTGATATTTTCCGTTCAACTGTCCACTTTAATCTATTAATTAATGATCAATTCTTTGAATTCAAACAAATTTTAATACTAAAAATTATAAAATAAAATCAAAATAAAACCATTATTATTATTATCATTATTATTAACAATAAATAATGTAGATAAGTGTTGAGTTTTTTTCTTTATAAAACATTAAACAAAAGTTTCGCTTACGTTTTTGAAATTATATTGCAATTACTAAAAACAGTTGTACGTTTTAATTGTAAACATATACACACATTCTCATTTATAAATTTAAATGGAAGAAATTAAGTTAGTTTTACTAAAGGTCACAGTAAAATTTATGGAAGAAATCATTATGATAAGATATAAAAAATGATGGTCAAATTAAAAAATTAAAAAAAGCAACAATGATTAAAAAAGAATTGAATAATTAAAGCAGAAATCTTAAATTGACTAAAATATAAACAAACAAAATGTGCTCATTTTATAAAATCATTATATCATTTTTCAAAATATAAACAATCATTATTTTATCATTTTAATCATCATTTTATCATTTTATAAGTTAAAGTTGCAATTAATAGCAAATGATTATCACTTCTTTTATCTTATCATTGTGATGACTTCTTTTATATAATTAGTTCTCACATACATAACGAATTATATTTATATAATTGACAAAAAAGACTACCGAAAATAAGTAAACAATGGTTTTATATTACATTTACATAATTGCATCATTTACACTTACTATTATTACGTATTATTATGTTTTCGTAGTAAAAGTAATGAAGCAAACACCGAAAAGGAAGAAATTGAGTAATTAACTGACACTTTTTTTCCTGTATTTACTTACTTAATTAAGCAAAATAAAAAGACGAAGCAATAGAACTCACAAACATACGTTGTCATCAATTACGTCACTGCAACAAGTAATTTCCTTTTTGTGCTAAGATTTCAAATGACTTATTCTTTACTTTTGTATCATCACATTGATGCAGCGGTTATCACATTACATTTTTACGTCTCTTAAAAATTACTATTTATGTTTGAAGATTGGATGGTAAATATGAAATAAAACGTACTAACCTTGAAAATGTGTTTTAATTTGCAGGTAACTCACAGCTAATCGTAATACACTAAGTTTGTCTAACCTGAAATATTAGCTGATTTACTTCTTATCACATTTTTAATTCATACATGAAGTATAAGCTTTGTTAATAATGATAATAATAATAATAAAAATTTTAATATTTTTTAATAATTTTCTTAACAGCAAATAAAAAATGAAATTTTTTATACATTTTGTTTCGAGTAATACTTTTTTTTATGTTATTATTTAAAATGAAGAAGTGAATAATCAAGAAATACTTATTTCCCAATTTTGTCATCTGTGAATCGATCAATAACTACTCAATAGGAATAAGTTAGATACAAAATATTAATTATGCATCATCTTTTTAAAACAAAATTGTCTCTTCTTTTTCTTATAATTTTAATATTTTTTGACAATTTTACTGACAGCAAATAAAATTTAAAATTCTTAAATTAACCTTGAAATAACATTTTGCTCGTACGGTAATAATGCAGCAACAATTTCCAATTCACTATTCAGTCTTTCGCGATGTCGTTTGCTTGGATTAGTAGCAAGTCCAGGTTTTATTCCTTCACGTATACTAAAATATAAATAATTATTTTTGTAAATTTGAATTTTTTAATGTTCAAAATTTGCACACAATTTTATAAAATGTCTTTTTTTTTTTTGCATATAAATGTTTGCCTTTTCCTTTTTTTGTTGACAAACTTTGTTTTTTTTTTTATTTTAATTTTGATAAATTAAAAATTTAACGAATTTTCAAAAGTAAATGAAAAATAAATGACTTTGTTGGTAGCAAATTTTATGATAGGATATTTGATTCGTTCCCTAACATTTTTTTTTTTTTTAAATTTACATTTTATCATCATGAAATATGTCTTATTCGTCTTCATCATCAAAATCATTACTATTTCATGGCATTTGATGACTTATCTTAGCATACGGTAGCTAACATTTTCAACAGCTGCAAAAGCAAGGAAGAAGCATTTTAATGATGAATAAAATAAAATGTACAAATGATGATGGCAAGCATTGAGTTAATTAATTATTAATTAATATATCGTTTTCTTTTCCACTATTTAACTCTCATTCATTCCCTTTTCATTTTCTCATCCGTTCTTTTATGCTGAAAATTAAGCATAAAATGCAGTAATAACATGCATGCAGTATAGCGTGTTAACCATAAATTGAATGGGAAATTGAAATCAGTACGCCATAAATGGTAACGAATTTCCGGAAATTTATACAAATATTTTCCGGATATGAAGTTAATTTTCTTTAATTATTTGAAATTAATTGATTAAAAATTAATCTCTGAATCGATTATTTATTAATTTACATATTACCATTCATCCTTGCATAAGACCGCATAAGATGCATAAAATGAGTAAAATTTGTAATAAAATTAATTGAATTTCAAACTTTTTATATTTTTTGTTTCTATTTTAATTGCCTTCAATTAATTAAATCCATTCTTTTGCATATTTTAACTATGTTAAGAAATTGAAATGATGAGAAATAAGAGAAGTAAAATAAATTCATGACAGAGAGGAAGAAGAAAAAATTTCTCTCCAGTAATCTTGCTTCAAGTAATTTAAATTTAAATTTTTAGAAAAAAAACACTTTTTTTTAGCTAAGCAATTGATTTTTGATTACTAATAGAAAAAGGAAAAAAAGCATATAGCAGTACTGCTTAAAAAATTAGTGAAATAGTCAATTTCGATATTAACTAAAATAGTAATTGGGGCGAATAGATTCAAATTAATGTTTTCATAAAAATTATGAATAGCAAACATTTTAGGAATGTAATATTTTTTTGGATTGAGAATTTTTAAAGTATTTTAATAATAAAAGACAGGATGAATTTTTGTTTTAATAATTATTTTTTATCTTTCGAAGTAATTTGCTTTTTTTTTGAAATCATTTCTGAAAGTATTAAATAATTTTAACAAATTAATTTGCAAAAAATAATAATCACTATATAGATTATTGCTATTTTTATAGATTTGAAGTACTAATAGCTAACAGACGGTAAACAATTATGTGAGATTCTTTTGTTTCTTTTCTGGAAGAACAAAAAATTTCTTTTTTCTTTTTAGAAAGTATCCGAAAATTATGCTACCAAAATGATAGAACCATTTTAAAAGAGCTTTCTTCTATAGTTACAGCAGAAAATCTTTTGGATAATTAGTTTGCTTGAATGAGAAAGTAATTATTGTTGCAATTATTATAATTTCTTTCATCAATCTTTGCATATTATATGTGAAATAATAAAAATCTTTTGTGAATATTATTTAATAAATCGAAATATTTTAAACTATATAATATCAATATCACAAATGAAATATCATAATTAATTTGTTGGCAATATTTTCATTATTATCTTTATTTTTTCATGTATTTAGTGCATTATTATTATTATTATCATTATTATTGCTGTTATTATGATTATTGTTATTATTATCATTTATTTATTTATTATTATTTAGTTTATGTGGATTAAAAATTTTTATTTAACCATAAAAAATGAAAATGCGAATTCAACACTAATGCAATTTAAGTTTTTTTTTTTTTAATTTATTAGATTTTGTAATAATAATTATAAATTCATCAGTAAATTTCTATAGATTTTAAAATATTTAATCACTTTTTTCTAGTCACTTATGCAGCAAATTCTTCTGTACTCATTAAATAAAAATAATTTTTAATCCTTAGATAATATATGTGAATTTTGTTTGAAATAAAATGAAATAAAATGTTTCTATTTCAGTAAAACAAAATGAATTAAGTGACGTAAATGACGTAAGTGACAGCTTTAAAAAATGCACTACGTGTATGAATAAAATGTTACTGATAAATGATTTGCTTAGTATCTATTATTTACAAATTTTAATTAAGCTTGTTTTAAGGAGAGACTTCCATATTGCAAAAATTTACCACTGAAAATAGAATTTTTTACGACTATCAGTTGTGATTAATGAAGAAATTAATTTAAAAGATCGAAAAATTTTAATCGATTGAAATTTGACTTTAGAATTAGATTTTAGTGAGTTTTTTTTCTTTAAGAATTTCAATTAAGACCAATTAAATCTATTGCAATAAAGCTTTCGAAAAAAAGTGCTAAATTTTCGTTTTTAAGAAAGCAAAAATTTCAAATTTATGCAAAAATTGAATACTGCATTGATTTTTATCAAATATATGGTGTATTTAAACAATAATCGTAATTTAAAACAGTTTATGTAAATTGTGCAAAGAATAAAATTATAATTTCAGTGTAAACTTGTTAATTAATTATAGTGAAAGAATTTAAAAATGAACACATAATAATGAAATATTTCTGAATTGTCATTATTAAGAATAAAAAATATGAAAATATATGTCAAATAATTTCTTCTACAATCATAAATTGTGTAAAACTTCAATACTAGAGATAAGGATTGTATCAACGTCAAAACTTAATATTATACTAATACTAATTACTACTTATTAACACTTATTACTAGTAACTAGAAAAAAAAAACAATTACTGCAATGATATCTATTGCAGTAACAACTAATAAATATGTTGTTTTATTGTTGGTAATAGCACATTGCTACAACAAGAAATATTACTGCTACAACAACCTACCATTACAATTACTAATGTTGCCTTGAGCGCTTCGAGATTTTTCAGTCAGGCAATATTTCGTGATGTTCAAAAATTCTGTCTCTTTCCAACCTCCTCTTGCATTTTGAACACGCCATATCATCATCATTTTGTCATACGTACTCTCTTGTGCTTTTTCTCAGAGCTTCGGTTAACCATCACCCCAGTAATATCCACTCAATAATCATTTACTATATTTGATCACTCACTAATACTATCTTTGATTTCATTTTTAATTTCAAATTATTTTAATTATCATAAATGAAACAATAGCAATGACAACAAAATATTCGATATAAATCTAATAATATATTTCGTTGGATTATATATATATATATCATTCCATAGTTTTATTTATTAAGATAAAAAATGATTTTGCTGTCACATTTCTTAAATAATTAACTCTGAATTATAATACTATTCCACTTATCTTTCTTCTCAACTGATCTAAAACTTATCATATACCATTCGTAATCATCATACCATCTAAGCTTAATATTTCTACTCATATTTTTCATTGCACTCATTCCTTCCCATTTTTTCTTGCGTAACTTTTTGCCAATTCGTTATTTGATTGGTAAAATTGCATGATATTATTTTCATAAACTAATGGCTGCTAGCTACGGTATAGTTGTCAACTACCGTATTTACTAGTTACAGTATTTGTTATTACTCATTGTGCTTGGTAGTTACAGTATTTATTGTCATATGCTTGCAGACCTATAGGAAGTGTTTGGAGTTGAAATTTATTATTGTTAAAAAGAAAGTAACTACTTTTTAAATAAAATGCTACGTATTGTTTATCATTTCCTAATGATAATTAAAAAATAAAAATAGAAAAAATTAAAAATTCAATGCTGCAAACCGTTTAAAATTTCGTTGTCGTCGTTTATTGGCATACATATTTGCTGATCATTATTAACAGTTCAAAATCTAAAAATATATCGAATTTCAATTTGAATTAATCTTGATAAAAAGACATGATGAATGAAATAGAAATGCAATAAATTTAAATACTTTCAAATACCATCAACGATTATTAATAATTGCATGAATAAACTAATGTGGGATTTTCTTCGGAATAAATCAAAAAATTTAATTTTATCAAGTAAAAACTTTATTTACTGTGGATCCGCTTACACCAAAACACTTATTTAGTTCAAATGGAATGAACAAAAAGTGATTGTCTATGATTATTCCAAAATTGAAAATAGAGTAAGTAGATAAGTAATAATTCCAATGATTTTAATAAGTTAGAAATCAATTAGGTATTTTGCAGCATTTTTTTTTCCACAGAATATTTCATTTTGTTAATCAATTCAAGTTTTTCTAGTTAATAAAATAATTTCAACTTTTTATTCATTCGTTTCTTTTCTCTTATTTATGATTAACTATTTATATTAGTCTTTTGCAATGTCTTTACTAATTAATTTTTGAGCTTAATAAATCCTCATGGATATCTTTTTCAATTTTACTTTCAAAATAAATTATATTATTCCTCTTAAATATTATCTTTATTACTGTTAATAAATCATTGCTATGTTCTATTTCTTAATTTGCAAGCAAAGCGATCGCAGTAATTCTGATCAATTTAAAATGATAATAAGTGTTTGTTATGTTCAATAATTACTGTGAAAACGTAATACAATATTGTGTGTTATTATTTGTTACTAAACATTACCACTATTACTATTACTATCATTATCATTATCATTATCACTCTCACTATCATTATTATTCTTACTACCAATATAATATGGACACGCAAATTATTTGCATGTCAAAGAAGAAAAAAGAACTGTAGATAATAAATATAGTTGAATGTCAGTCGCGTGTCAAAGCTATCATTCTAAAAAAAAGCTATCATTGAAATATTTCATATCTATCACTTCATTTAATAAATCGCTGATATTTAATTGCCCAAATAATAATAAATCCAAGTGAAAGTTAAAATGATAAAAAGGAAATAAAAACGGAATGATGAGATAAACTTACTTTATTAGACGAAAATTTGCTGATATAATTGTTTTAGGATAAAAATGTTTAATATTGTTCCACCTATTCTTTCTCTTAATCTTATTATTTTGTTTTATTGCTAACTATTGTTGTGATAATATTGCTTTAATTAACTAGTTGACAGTGGTACTAATTTTTGTTTCTTATTACTCTCTACACTAACTTCTTTTTCTTTTATTCTTTTCTTTTTTTTTTCACTTTTTGGGTGAATAAGAAAAAAGTCTGATATAAAATTAAATAATTTTATTGACGTCACCGTGTCATTTTTAGGATGCTAAGAGGAAAATTTTTAGAAAATTTCTTGCAGCACGCAAACCATTTGATACGATTGCCTTAAGTGGCTAATATTGCATTCTATCGGGCGTGGCTGAAATGGACGATTGAAGGAGGAGGAAAAAGGACTATTGCACCGATAATACTTAAATCATACACAGAAAGCAACTGAGGGCGGGTGGTACCACAATTCGTTTCTCAAGGACATTCATTATTCATTGTCAATCACCTCAGAAGAAAGGGCGGAGAGACATCGCTTACCGTATTACTTCACCTACTGAACAAAAAGGTTGAAATTGTGGCGCATGTTTGTTAACAATTCATCATCATGAAACTAACTTATTCTGGTAAATCAATAATATTTAATTATTTTTTATTCTACCAAATTGATAAATTGAAGAAAGAAAACTATCAACTGATTAGTTAACATATTATTATTGCTATTTATCATTACTATTGTTGTAACTTTCCATATCATAACAAATGGTACTTAAAATTGCTTATCATTTTTTTATTAAGTATTTTGTAAAATTAAGAAAGAGACAGTATAGTATGAAAGAGGAAACAAGAAAAAATTACGGTAATGGTAATGGGATAAGATATGAGCAAAAACTTTTGCCAACGAGAATAACAAGCGTTTCAATGAACAGCTTTAATCTTTTTTTCTGTTTTTGTGAAACTATCAATTGATTTTTTATCACTGTAATGTGATGTCTTATCATTAACATTCTTTTGTCTAAATGGTTTTAAAATGCATAAATCTAGAATGAATTCAGAAGAAATTTGCATATTTAAGGTTATAAAAATTTGGAAAATATAAGCAAAGAAATCATTTCTAGTGCTAATTTAAAAACATTTTAAATAGCTATTAGAAAAAAAAAAACATTGTTGCATTTGAATTTCTTGGAATTTTTTATAATTTATTGAATATTATTCATTCGTAATATTTTGTTTAATATGCCCATTTTATTGATAATACCTTAATTTATATCTGTTTTTAAGTGATAGTAGTTCACTTATATCCTATGTTAAATAAAAAAACACCTCAAATAAATTTGCTACTAATTCATACTGTTTCACTCATTTTATTCAGTTTTAAATCAATTTTGTCATAAAAATCTTATTGTGATAGAATTGCATATCAAAAATCAATTGTGAATAAACTTCCTAAAATTACAATAAACCACGGACAAACTAATTGACAAATTGATGCAAAGAGTTGAAATATTTTCTTTTTTGTTGCTTTTCTCTTTAAATTAGTTGGTTGGTTTCATTGTTGGTAGTAATACAGTTCACAGTGCTTAAATTTAATTCGTAAAAGAGACATTTGTTGTTTCATTCAATTTTTTTTTTTAAATTGTTTTTATATTAATATGTCTAAGTAAGCTGTCATTTAGGATAGTCAAAATGAAGGAAATGAATGCTCTGTTGAAGAATGCCATTGATATTATTAAAAAAGTAATAAATATGAATAAAAATGTTCCTTAGAACTACGGAATTTATAAAAGCTAAAAATTTCTGTCACTTTTTTGTTTGACAGTTTTTTTGATTGTTGGAATAAATGATTGTTGATTACAAATTTCAATAAAAATTTATAATTTGATTTATCATTCAGTATAATAGAATTGTCGTTAAGTTAGGCAACAACGAAGTTCCCAAAAATTCTAAAGAGAACGTTAAACATGTATTGTAATTTACTAAGCAATTAAAACTTTAAGATAATCTTGCTTGCACTGATATGATTTTATTTTTCAAATAAATATAAATTGATAGCGAACTAAAATATTAACTGGAAATATTAACTTAGCTGTCAGCAAGAATTTGACATCTTCTCGAGCAACTGATGCTCTTGAATTCTGATCAAATGTGTTTAATAATGATTTGTACCAAGGCTCGCAAGTAACTTTTACTCATTAACATTAAGGCACGTAAGTCAGTGGAACGTCAAAATGAAGTGAATATAGCGATCGAAGCTGAATTTTCAAATTTCAGCAGTGAAATCAATCGAGAATTTAATGAAGTTAGTTTAATTGTAGAAGGAAGAAATTTTTTTTACTTTCCATTCTGAATATATTTGCTGTTATTTTTAATATTTGAGCAATCATGTAATTTTAGTAAATGTGATAGTTTAAACAGAAATTTTTAATTTAAGTATTTAATAATCATAATTTGATGATAACCGCAAGCAATGAATAGATATATATGAGAATAATTAAAATGTTCAAATTAGCAGTCATTTAGAATTTTAATTGTATACGGAAATTATGCAATTTTTGATGAATTTGGTTATATATATTGAATGATTTCATTGAAGCAAATGATTGTGTGTAATCATAATTTATTCTTAGTACAATCATTTAAATATTATAACATTTGTACAATTTTAATACTTTATTTAAAGAAATAGAATTAAGTAATGTAAGTGTTCGTTTATCGATTTACAATTATATGCTGGTGTAAAGTCCCATTATCAAGAGTAATTGTAAGTGTACACCGGGCAATCATAGGTAATGCTGATAATCATAAGTAAGCAAGCAATTGTATATGGAATTATGTGATTTTTTAACAAATTTATATTAGAAATTTAATTAAAATTTGATCAATTAAAATTTTGATCATTATTACATTAAAATTTGGTCATTAACACTATACAACTTAAAATAAAATTTATTCAAAGGTTGAAATTAGCAAACGTAAGCATAAACAATCGAAATTAATAATAAACTTTTACAATTCAAATCACAACTGAAATACATTATTTTCCCAAATAAGAATTTCATTTTTCCTTCAAATTCAGTTGTATAATAGAATTTGCAAAATCAAGAGAGATTATAAGAATCGAATTGAATTTTTGAAAAGCATGTGTCAGCATTACACTGATAACTTATCACATCGAATGAATGAATTAGCATTTGATGAAATGGAAATTTGGCAGAAATTGAATAAACTTGAGTGGGATATAATTATTCTTCAAGTAAGATTTAAAATTCTTTTTTGATATTGAATGTTTCAAATTTTTAATTTTTCCACAAATTAAAGAGCTAGCTTAAACTTCAAAAAGATCTTGAAAGTTAGAAAAAATGTTGAATTTCCTCGAATAAAACATAAATTTTCTCCATTCCAGCAACATTTTAACTTTAAAAGTTCTTAAAAATTTTTGAAAAAGGTGAAACTGTCTTTTCTTATTTTTTAAACTGTGAAAAATTTTCACCCAGTGTGTTGGACGATCACTTATTGAAGCATCGACATCTTATTTATCGGAAATTTATTTTGATAATATTGAACAGACGGTTAATTATAACTTAATTAATCTACGTAAGATAGCATTCATCGTCAAAAGAAAATAGTTTTTAGAAAAATTTTACAAAATAAATTCTTTCCTTTTTTCGTTATGATAAGTTGTAGTATCATTCACTGTTAAATTACAATATGACTTCAAAATTAGTTTTAACAACACAGCTAAGACTATCTAATCTTCTTCACTTAAAATATTTGTAGCTTCATAAAACGAAAAAGAATCTTACTCAAATTGACAATATTGTTGCCAATAATTATAATCTTTCTATTGCATATGGTATTAATTTATCGCCGGTAAAAAAGTTTAAAACACGTAAAATGAAAATACTACTTTTATTTGTCAATTCTTTTCGCTTCGATTTTAATTAGAAATGAAATTTATAAAAAAAGGAATGTAATTTACCAAAAGTTAATAACTTAATGAACAAATTTTTATTGTGTTGGCTACTTATGGAGTTTATTTTTTGATAATGTTGATGTATTGATAAAGCAAATTATAGGTGCCATCTGCATTTGCATCAGAAATATCGGTTGATGATAACAAGGTCAATGTTTCTCCTGTATGGAAAGAAACTGTACATTAGAAAACTGAGAAAAAAGAAATCTCTGTATAAACCCAAATCGATAAAATTAGATATATTTACGTAACTAGAAATTATTAATTGATCTTTTTACGATTGAACAATTTGGACTCAAAACTCGAGAAATGATTAAATCAAGAAATGTACAGGGATTGGAAAACTGATTTAATTAGAAGTCAGCAATAGATAAAGAAATTTGTTGGAATAATTAATAATTAAAATAGTAATATTACTATCATTATCCAATGTGCTGAAAGTTGGGAAACAATTTATATTATAATATTCATTTCTTTTGTTACAAAAAAAAAATTTCATAATTTTAGTTTATGGAAATATTACAACTAATTTCTAACTCGGTGCAAAATGTTCAACGATTACTGTGTATTGCTGATGGCAATTATGTTGATCAAAATAATTTAATAGATGAAGCAAGAAAGTTATTAACAATATGTAATAATATTCAACAAAAAATTATGGTAATCAATTTAATTGAATTAAAAAATTATTTTCTTTTTTTAATTTTCCCTTGTTCTCTATTTGAGAATGTTGAATATCTCAATACAACAAGAAGTTATGCTAGCAATGACAGCAATGACAAAACAGCATCATCAACAGGTAATTTATTACAGTGGTAAATTGTATGAAGTAGAGCTAAATTTGCCGCTACTTCGTATTTCTTCATTCTTACAGATCACAGAATAATCAATACTTCGGATCTGAACAGCAAAGAACAGTGATTATAGAAATTATGTTATATACATTCTCCCATTATGAATTTCGAAATAAAGATATTGCAAAATGACTAGGCTATTTTACATTTTAAATTTCTTTAAAAAAAAGGCTGACACAGACTGCCAACACGCTAGTTTTGGAAGCATAAACTTTGACGGATGAATGAATTAGTGAACATACTGTAATATTCTACGGAATACAGAGAAGCTTCAAAGTTTCAAAAGTAGTAAATTGCAGTTAATTTTAAGAAAAAATTAAGCGCATTACCAGAATTTTTAGACTGGCGGTCATTTCAATCGAAAATACAATTAGAATCTCCATATCAAATTCCTTAACGTAAGCTAATCATCTCCGGTCCTCTAATATAACGACTTTAGCCCCATGTAAACAAATTGACGTGCACCGACATTTTAATAACTATCCTCAGCCTTTTCCTCGCAATTCGATTGGATTCTTAATATACGATAGTGATTTAAGGCTGAGTTAAGGGAATATTTTACTATTTCGTATAAAACTCAGATCAAGAGCAAAATATTTTACTAGGTTCAGCTTAAATAGCATGGAATTTACAAGAATAATTTACAAGTTAATTGAGTTATACATTTCTAAAGCAACATCTGAAAGGAACGTAACAGCGAAATGCTAACAATATATTTCATTAAAGATCATCTCTTCACAGAAACCGAAGAGATACATCTTCAAAATCAAACAAGACGAAAAAGGGACCTCTCTAACTATCTCGAAATAATATTCCCAACAATTCAAATTCCATTATTTCGATCATACAGAATCTTTTCCACGAAGTGAAAATTGATCGCATTCGATACAACTTGCTGAAACTGTCTGGACGCTCACTTTACACTTACCCTACATCTGAGAAAATAAAAAAAAAAGAAAAAATTTTTAGGTAGGTCACTTCTAGAGATGAAAGCAGAAAGCACTGTTACCTGGAATGGACTATTTACAAAATCGATTAGATTTTAAGTGAAAACGAGGTCAGACTTTGTGAAATAATTCAATAATTCAAGATGTGAAAATGTCTCGTCAATCCAATACTACCGTATGAGTTCATTAACCATTATAATAGGAGATTTCTCATGTCAATTTTGTCTCAGTGCTGCTAAACGTTGTGTTAGCTCATCATTCTCCGCTGTCGATGTTGAAACTTTACCACCAATTGATACTGTTGATGGCATTTCCATATTCAGTTCCAAACTGTAATTTTACATTTTTGTATCGAGGAAAAAATATGACGTGAAAAGTATTCTCTGTTTTTCTTTACGGTTAAGTTTACATAATAATTAAAAATGTTTGAAAATTATGTTGTTTCATTTGTTATTTAAATATCATCCCCAAAACTTTTTACCCACCAATAATCAGATATGCTGAAATATCAAATACAAACAAAAGCAAAAAAAAAAAAAAAAAAAAAAAAGAGTCGAGGAGAAAGGTGGAGGAATTAGAAAAGAAAAAGAAGACACCATTATGCCATCAAAGCAATAATACTGTACATATCTGATGGAACGATGAATTAGTGTGGTAGGATGATTAACATGACCTAAGTTATATTTGATATATAGATGCAATTTAGTAATACTAATAAAAGTTACGTTATCATACCAAGCTAAGTTATCTTACAATCTTCAACTGGTCATGTAAGGTGAAAAGAGGATAAAGTCCAACAACCAGTAGGAAAGGAAAACGTACCCAGCCTTATCTGCCGCTTCTTGGATTAAAGCATTAACTTGTGCTTGAGGTGCATTTAACGTTGTCGTGGCTGTCATCGAACCTTCCATTGTAGCAGATTGTACATCTAAATTTTCGAAATCTTTCTCGAAACGATCCATCAAATTTTGCACTTTTTCCAAATTCATTGAGCGTAAAGCCGATTCCATTGCTTTCACAACACCAGACATACTTTGAGTTACACGCTTTTGTGTAGCGGCCGTCTGTGAAAGTGAACATTTTACACCATGTCAAATAATCCTAAGCCTTTTTTTTTTTTTCATATGGGATGCACAAGCAGTTTGTACGATGTTTCATTTCCATCAAATATATTGGGAATTGAAGTGAATAAGAGAGTGAGGAAAACCATAATGCACAAAACTTTCGCGATATTAATGTACTACTGTATTTGAAAATATACTTTACAAAATAACCGAATAGTGTCTGCTAATTTCTTGATGTTAAAAACTGATTAATGCATACAAAGACAAAACAAACTTGTACACGTGCTGCTACTGCATCAATTCGTGCCGACATCCTTAAATAATTCAAGGCTTCATTCTTTTTGCGTATTGCATTTTCAGCGTGTACCTGCGCTACTTCCATATTGCCTTTCTGCAACAACGTGTTAATTTAACAGAAATTCTTTGAAGATAAAAGTATCACAAAAAATCAGAAAAAGCAAAATCAGTGCATGCGTGAAACTCACTGATATCATAACTTGGAATCGAAAGTGAAAAAAAAAGAACCTTTATTGCGTTTGTTAATTTCGTCTTCTCTGCTCTTTCCTCTTTTTCACATTTTTTTGAGTTTCGCTGCAGTTCTTTCGAAGCAAACTTCAAATTGAAAAGATGATCTAAAAGTTCTGCGCAAAACTTAATAAAATTCAACAAAATATTAGAAAAGTATACTGCAGATAAACACTACTACCAATAGTTTGACTAAATAGATAAGTAGAGTTGAACGATAACTTCTATATATAAGAAAAAGAAAAGGTATGTTACAAGAACTAGAGAATAGACTTTCTCTAGTTTCTTCTTTATTCATTCCTTTTTACATTGAGAAAAAGTGCACAAGAAATATAAAATAAATATAATGACATAGTAAAATCTCTGATAAAACCTTACTATCTAACGACATCCTATGACTGTTGATAAGATGAAACTTCTAATTTGTTACGTGGAAGCCTGAAACTTGTACATTGGTTTAATTTTCGTATAAATAATTTAAAATGATCTAAAAATGAGAGCAAAAAAAAAGTAAAAGTTAAACACTTGAACTATTCTTAAGTCTCATACAAAACTGTTTTGCGTGAGCAAACGACCCGACAAATACAAAATTACTAATCAAAATTACAATAAATATGTATCATGGCCAACCACTAAGGAACTCTATGCAATTCCTTTTCTCAAACTAATGCTTGTCATGGATATTTGTTTGTTTAGTTTATTTCATTTCATTTATTATGCATTGCAATTGAACAAATAAAATTAGTTGTTTATATAAAACTAATGAGTAGAAATAATTTAACAATGTTTATGTATCTTTTTTGTACATTATTTTTGTTTAAATTCTGCATATTTGTAATAAATATATTGAACATATGCCAAAATGATAAGTTTGTAAATATGTATGCGAGAAAATGTTTATATTTATGGACTTATTATAAAAGAATATATATACTCTATGAAAGAAAAGATATCGTTGTTGACGAAGTCCATTCATAAAAAAAAGATAAAAAATTAAGTAAATTTATTATCACGTAATAATAGTACTAAACGATACGTTGTTGTATAAATCATAGTGATAGTAATAAACTTGCACATGATAGTGGTTGCTAGATTTGATCCGAATTTATAAATATAATTTGATTAATTTAAGATTATTTTCAAAAAGTCAGATTTCGACACCAAAAGGAACTGATTAAAATATTTATTTTTATAAATGAGACATATATATAAGTTTACTGCTATTATTAAGATTTAAATTAATAATTCTGTCGCTGCGTACTATTATTAATAAATTCATTTAAAAATTTTTTGCATTTCTTTTCTCTTTTCTTCTAACCTCCTTCCCTCTCTCTTTGTTCTTCACCATTCAACTTTATTCTTTCTTTTTTATGAGCGAACATTTCGTATTTTTCCTTTCACAGATTATTTATTTTTTGCTAGCCATTACATTTATATAATTTATTTAAATTTTATTCAATTCAGTCAACAAAACACTTTCATTTCTTTCAAAAACAACACAAAACATTTTGGTGTAAAAAAGAAGAAAACAGAAAAGAGCAGAAATTGCAACAAAATTTGGTACTTTTTCAATAATTACACAATTGCAAAGAGAATGAATTTAAAGGAATGAATGATTGTCCTCATTAGTTTCTTCAGCGAAACTGCCAAAATGAGAAGAATGCTTTCCCGCATTTGACGAATAAATATACTAACTGACATTCGTCTACATTTTCCGTTTACTTTACATAGACAGGTTGATAGTAGTAGTGTTTATGTGTGACACTTTGATATTCTCTTAAAATGATTTCTCATTTCAGATAATTCAATCACCCTTACAATAAAAATAAAAAACAATAATAATTATATAATAATAATAATAATAATAATAATAATAATAATAATAATAATAATAATAATAATAATAATAATAATAATAGTAATAATAATAGCAGTAATAAATAATAAATAAATAAATAGATAAAAATAAAGCAGGATTAAGGAAAGCTTTATCAGGACTGGAAGACAGTTGGAAAATGAAGATAGTAGGTAATTGTAAAAATTTGAAACCTTAAAATGAACTATGTGAAGAAGGAAGATTATGAAGTTTATTATTATAATAAGTATGTATGTTGTTTATCTATTCCATTTATCTTTTAAAGAGCAATGAAATACATAAATATCACAAAGCAGTAATAAATATTTAAAAATAATTAGTTAAGCGAATAGAAATAATAGATAATTTATAGCTGAAATAACTATGAGGGATGGATATCGATCTGCAAAATGTTTGAAGAATTTCTGTTTCCCATCGCTGTTTTTAATGTTCATGTATGATAAATTTGAAAAATGGACGCAAAGCACTGAAGTGTCTTGACCTGAGTGACCTTAGAATTGAAAATGGACGTTAGAGAATTTTTTTTCTCTCTACGGTCGGTACTGCATTATGAAGAATTTCAATACATTTCACTAAGTTTGTTATTTGTTTTGCATATAATTTCAAAATACAAATCGATTAGAAATGAAAATGACACTTTTTCCAGACATTGTGAGTGTACCATTTCGATAGTTGGAAAGCAGTGGCGGTGTTATTGCTTGTCAACAATGGTGCTACAATGGGACAACATGCATTTGGCAGTTTCACTGCTACTAACAAATTGTTCCACATCCTTTCTTCTTCTCTTATACTCCGAAGCAATTCTGCTGCAATCATATTAATGTTTATATCATTCAGAAAATTTTGATTTTCAGAATTTTTAATAATTTCGAATTTTCATTATATGACCCGGAGGCTTATTTATTAAGGTATGATTGTTAAAACCTCAGATGTAACGGCACGATTATTAAAAGATCTTATATGATTATCAATTACTTTGATTGTTTTCAGTTCCTTTATTCGCCCTTGTAAGTTAATCACTTACAGTTGAATGGTGCATATTCTGTTAACGATATGATTGTTATTTTTGAATTCGCTGAGCCTCTCGAAAAGATTGATATTTGCAATTAGGGATGGTTTTAGCATTATATGTTCCTGTCTCTCCGTAATTCCACAGTTTGAAAATAGCTTTATTGTTGTTGTACAATACCGTGCTTATACAATAAGAAATGAACAGTGAATATTACTATACCAACAAACAGTGCATAGATGTTCACTAATTTCCCTTTATAACTGTCACTCGCCACACTAAGTCATTTGTTGGAAGTAAATTAAGTAAGTAAATGAGTAAGTGAGTGAGTAAGTACTGAGACAAACTGAATCGAAGCTTGCAATATGCAAAAAACTGAGCTAAAGCGATGATTTTAACTGCTTACATAGTGTCGGAGTGTTTTATAGTATTATGTCAACTGCTTATAAGAGTGACTGTCAGACTGAACGACTTTCACAGTATTTCGATTTGCAAGTAATTAAGTTTATGAGAGAGAAAGCTAATTGAACAAACAGCTTGCAACCTTCTAACCAACGGATATAAGTTTGACTGTCAGACTGGAAAATCCTAACAATAAAGTGGACGCAATTTATAAAATGTTAAGCAATGTCATATTCTTTGTCAACAGATTGTAACATTTTAAACAGTGCACATAAGCTTTACTACAATTCCAAGTTGAGTATTGGGTAAATGATTTCTTAACTGAGATATCAAATTCAAACAGTTTAAAATTTTTATTTTATAGATTTAATACAAAATTATTTTAAGATGTTATAAAATTCTTTCGGTTTCTCGACAAGCATTCTCTTTTAGTAAGTGTTAATTAATTCATTTTAGCCAGAATTAATTTATAACTTAATCTATTTACATATTTTATTAGTGCTTAAGTTGTTTGGTCCTTTTCTTTTGACTTTAAATTAGAGGAAAATTTTGGATTGAATCGATAGTTCATTTTGAGAGAGGTTGGGTCCATTTAGTATTTGTGATGGAGTGAGAAGGTCATTTTGCAATGTGTATGAGTGAGGGCAAAGGTCACTCTGATATAAGTATGGAGAATGAAGGTCAGTGTAACGTTGTGACGACCATCTGCGCTGTGACTTTTGTTTACTTCCACTTTGGTATGTTTTGTCCATCGAAGATATTCAAAGGTTTCAAGATAGCAATTCTTTACTGTTGATTTTTTTTTAATCAGTATTTTTGAAGGAGTGAGATTACTCTTGAATACTGTCTAACTAACTATTCCTTTAACATCCTATCCATGATCATTTCAAATTATACTTATGATTTATATAGCAAGTTGTGACTCATAATGCAGATTATCAGTTACGCGTAATACAGTTGTAATATTCACTTAATTCATATAATCGAACTTATACTTAGCTTGTCTGCCAATAATATTAACCAATATACTTTGTTTAATTTCAATTTAAAAAAATCTTGAACATTAGAAATTGATGTAATAAGACTAATTATTCCACTTTTGGCCTTGATTTTAACCAGAAAGAAAGTTTTGAATTCATTCAGTAACTCTTCTGCTGACTTGTTTATCAGTTTCGCATATATGAAGGAGCGCGAAGGTCATTTGGACGTATCGCTTGGCGAATGAAGGTCATCATTAGTATAATGTTCTGATGACCTCCTGTACTACGATCCACTTATTTTGCATTTCCTCTCGTTTATTTATCCATTTAAGACATCTCGGAGATTGGAATTCAGATGAAATACATCAACCTTGTTAGCTTCAGTTAAGCTGATTTAAAAGAAACTTCATTTTGTTTAATTTTTCTTTATTGTCATTCTTAATTTCTATCATTTTTTATCCACAATTTTTCACTTTTGCTCACTCAACTTATTAATTTAATTTCAAATTTAGATAAATTAATGACTTATTTCCTAACAGACTTGTCATAATCATAACAGTTTAGACAGAAATGGCGAGACGAAAGAGTGTTGCATAACGTTCCTTAGCTTTTCGCATTGTTCCCGCTCTTTGGGTTCCTTTGTTCCTCCGAGACATCTCGGGGAGAAGGCAGTTGGTGTATATGCAGAATTCCCGAATGACTACTTGGGACGATACATGTTTCTCGTTTTTTTTTCGACTTGATATCTTGATTTTTTTTTCTTGTTAAAAAAAGAAATTCATTTTCCACATCGCCAAGAGTTTTTTGTACTGTTTTCTATCCTACATTTATTTCATTTTATATTAGTGGCCTAATTTTGATATTTATTCACGTATTTTAGCAGTGAAAATTTACAGTTCAATTCGTTCTATTGTTCTATTCAGTTCGCATGAAAAACATATGTTTGGCTAATTACATCAATTTAGGGTGTGCAAAATATCGAAATTTTAGTTTGATTTTTTAAATTGATTTAATCAAATCATATTAAGGTATAAAATTTCCGGCATTTTGGACGAAATCCAAGCAGTAGATAATTAATTCTTCAGTACATTTTGCAAGAATGATTCGGGGTTGGAATACCATACCTCAAGCATTTGTTGCTTCATTGTTTACATGGGGTGTTACTGCTCTTGGTGCAGCCGTTGTTTTCTTTATTCCGCCATCGAGTAAAAAGCTACTTGGTAAGTGTGTATTTTCAATTTTTTTTTTCAAAAACTTGCAAAATTGAAAAATTTTCATTTTCTAAATTTTTTAATCTGAATTGAAAAGAACTTAATTGTTGAGCTTCATTTAATATTTTCTTTTCTTTACAAGTTCCAAATATTTTTCTTTTTTGCGAAATAAATAATGAGAGTAATAATTTGTATAGACAATGAAGTTAAGGTTCTATAAAGAATGACCACTAGCAATATTATTTCCATTTAAGTTAATAAGGTGAGGTGACGAACTTAGATTTGGTTACTAAGATTACGTTAGGAGATCGGACGAAGGAATTATGATTCACCAAAGGTTTAATTTAATATTTATTAAAATTAATAAGATGTTTAACTACTTGTTATTTGGTCTAACTAAGTGAATAAAATTGTGATTCGAATTAAACTCTTTTTTTTCTGTTTTATAGATATAAGTTTGGGTTTTGCTGCTGGAATTATGATAGCAGCATCATTTTGGAGTCTGTTGGCACCGGCAATTGAATTATCAGAAACAGAGATGGGATCCTTTGCATTTCTTCCAGTAGCAGTTGGTTTTGCTGGTGGTGCCGCTTTTGTATATATTGCTGATCGAATAATGCCAAGGTAAGTAGGTCGACTGATGTTGTACATGATGATTTTGTGCACAATTTCAGCAGCATTTCATTTTATCAAACCAAAAAAGTTTTTTCAGAAATCAAATTTTTTGAAGTTTCGAAACTCTCATGGCTCAAAAATTTTTGTATATTTTTCATAAATGTTTTTGATTAGCCATTCAAATAGAAATATGAAAATTTGATTGATGGAGACATAACATTTTTAAAAAATGTTTTTTTGTTTTTTTTTTGTGGGAAAAATTTTAGACTTCACAAAAAAAGCTATTATTTTTTGATTCAATTTTAGTTGTGTGCTTTCGGAAATATCAGTGGTGGATCTATTAAAGGAAGATGTCACGGTAGTCGATCCCAAAGAAGTTAAATCGCTGGATGCAATTGTTGAAGAAAGCATATCAATGGTGAAGCTTAAGGAAACAAACGATAATATTGCACGGTATGGGTCTACTGCAAAAACATCCGGTCAAATAATTCGTCGGCGAACTGCCAGAAATAGGTGTGGGCGTCCATTGGCTCTACCGTAATGGAGTTGGCCTTGCTTGAAACATGCTTATACAAATTTTCATTTTTTTTTTTTTTAATAGCAAAAACCTTTCCTGAGCATTAAAAAGCGCTGAAATAGTTATGCAGGATTTCAACTCTTTCCTTCTTTTTCTTTAAACCTCATTACACAATAAATTGTATTTCTCAGGTTTTAGCACAAAAGATCATTTCCGAATATTTTCTTTTTGCTTTTTAAATCATTAACCTATTCATTGCTACATTTAGTTTGCTACTGGCAAGAAAAGAGAATTTCGTTGAAATCTTCTTTTAGTTTCAAGATCTGAAGTTGACAGGAAAATTACTGATGTAAAACAAGTTTAACTGAACTTATATGTGAATAGTTGATAAAGTACAATAAGTTCAGATTTACGTTTTCTTGTGGTTAACAGAGAATATATGAATATGGGGAATATGACATACATATGTCGGGAAATTTAAACGAGCCACAATGATACCGATTGCTTGAATAAATTTGATCTGGAAAATCTGCGCTACTATTTTTACGTACTTAAAACACACGGATAATTGAGAACTGACATAGTTTTGGCAGTAAATCACATTTTGATAATTTGGTACTTAACCATTTATGCCGACGTCTTATTATATTTTATTCCAGATGCTTATTTTTCCGCAGCATTTCTCTGCTATGAACCTTTGCATGTAGGTTGGCTTGTCCAAATGATCAGAACAGTTGCAGTCTGTATCTGGAGCGTAATAATGCTGCTATTTTAGAATTCATCAAACGAATGATTCCACAGCTACTACTAACAACACGGATGGAAGTACCTCAGATGCGACAGCAACAGTAGCAGTGATGGAAAATGGCAACCGAGCAGTTGATAAGGAACAAGCTTTTATCACATCTATCTCGTGGCGACGCATCCTTTTGTTAATTATCGCCGTTACGGTGCATAACATTCCGGAAGGTTTAGCCGTTGGTGTTGCATTTGGTATGCTTTGGTTTTATGCGAATCATTTCTTTAAATGCATTGTTTCTTTCGTTCATATATTTTTTTTCTAGAGATTTCTAGGATATTCCATATGGCACTTTCAGGAAAAATTTAGATATCGTTTACTTTTTATGTATTTAGAATCAAATATTCATCCAAGTTTATTTATTGGAATTTTCTTCTACAATTTTTTTCCTCACTTGTTTGCTTTGACTTGTCTCTCTTATCTCCGGTTTGAACTCATCCAACAAAATCTTGCACTTTTGTATGGACTGAAGTTTAAGTATATTGAATAAAGTAATCCCTTCAAATTCTCTACCAACTGGCCAATTGAAATCTTCATTTTGTCACAAAAATTAAACTTGTTTATATGCTATCGGGAGAATGACCGATGTATTGATTTTTTCCAGTTCACAATTCATCTTATATTAGAATCAACTTTTAAACTTATTTTAGGTTCTATTGGGAAAACATCTAAGGCAACATTCGAATCGGCTTTTGCATTGGCACTAGGTATTGGTTTGCAAAATTTCCCGGAAGGATTAGCCGTTTCGCTTCCACTTGCTGCTTTTGGCCATACTAAAATGAAGTCTTTCTTTTACGGGCAACTTTCCGGTTAGTTTTTAAAACCTTTCTCTATGTTTTTCTTTTCTTTTTCAAGTTGCAGTTTAACTTTAAATGCAAACAAAATTAAAGTTTGAAAGTTTTGGTATCAAAAGTCATCCTTTTTTTCTTCTTTTACTGGGCAAAATTTTTCATAATGGCTTAATAACGGCTGGATTTATTAGTACAATTTAAGGGCGAAAACTGCTTCAGGAAGATGATGTTTTAGTGTGCGACGTAGTAGTTACTCTAGGTAATACTTGAACGGTCTTAGTAAGGCTGTGTCTAATAAAGTCAAATATTTCTCCTTTAATTTTTAATGAAATTTTAATTTCTTTCGAGCTTTTTGTAGAATTTTTTGTAAGATAAGTTAAATGACTGCAGATTATGTAAAAATAATCTACTCCATTCGTATAAAAATATAAGTATCCTTTCTCAGGGCGATTTTCTTTCGCTAAGGGCTTCAAAAGCTTTTTTCTTTAGGTATGGTAGAGCCATTGGGGGCATTAGCTGGTTCAGCTGCCGTGGTCTTAATGGAGCCAGTTTTGCCATATGCGCTAAGTTTCGCTGCAGGTGCAATGATTTATGTTGTTCTGGATGATATTATACCGGAAGCACAACGAAATGGTAATGGTCGATTAGCATCTATAAGTTCAGTTATTGGTTTCTTGATTATGATGGCATTGGATGTCGGTTTGGGTTGATTATAATATTAGCAATAGTCTTGAATCTCACTTAATTTACTTTTGCCAATTTTGTTGATTTTGTCAAAGTTTCATTTTTTTACATATTTTTTATTTGCTTTTAAATTGTGACTTAGTCTTGTTTTGTTTAGAAACTATAAATATTAGTCTTTTCCTTGTAGTGATTCTGTTTACGAACATTTTGGATAAGATTTAAGGTAGATAAGATTATTGTGGACTGATAATATTAGATTTTAGAGAATAGGATAGGAGGTATCAAGACATGGTTCGTTACTATAATTTAGAAAAACGATACTAATGTTTTTAACAAGTAATATAGTTAAAATTTGAAATGTTTTTATAGAATTACCAGAAAAATTTTTGAAATGTTACAATGCTTTCTGAGTTCAAAATCTCAGGAAATTCGGCTCTCTCCAATAATGATTTGTTGTATTTATTGCTTTATTTTTGAAATTTCATTAGTTTTATGCAATGTTTAATACTGTCTTACAATAATTACTTTTTTTTGAAGTGCAGTTCTGCTTATTTTTCATCTCCTTTCTGATATTTCTGAATGGTATTACTTATTAGTATTTCGAAACGATTGAAATTGTTACACTATCCAGGTTTTCAATTTCTGGTATTAATTACATGAAGACGTGGATTAGCCACGTTTCTAATTTATTATAATTGAATTGTATTAACTTATATTCCTCGGGATGTTCCTTTATTCAAAAATATGAATCAAACGATTCATTATCATAAACTAACAGGTCGATCGCTTTTAAAGCTCGATTGGTTGTTCGAATATTTATTATCATTATTCCTTTCGTAATATTTCACTTACATATCATTGTCAAGTGTTATTACATATCAGCCTTATTTATTCATTACTTGCAGTGAACGTACAAACTGTATAGAAGTGACTTTAAAGCAGTAAGATTACTTTAAAACTTTTTCTTATCACTTTAAAATCATTTCTATACGGTTTACACGCCTATTGTTCGTTCTTTTTTTGTATAAGTTATTTAATCGATTCAGAATATTAGAGCCTGAAGGAAAGTATTTATAGTTGGTGATAATTGCACTAACTAAAGTATAGCGTAACTGATGGTAAAGGAAGGCAGTAACAAGTACTTTTATTTCATAGTGATGTTTTTTTATTGTTTTGGAAGAATGATTAAATTGTGCAGATTGTAAAATACCGATTGTCAAATTGTTTAACTGCAGACATTATTATTGGGTCATTAGTGGAATATTTTTCATGAGATGAAATTGAGGTTTTACATCTCACGAAGATTACTAACGGCTCATCCGCACTTGAGAATTCTTTTTTTCTTTGCGTCTACTATGACACTGAGCTAGCCTTCAGAAGAGCTGTAATAAATCTCTGAGAAATGAAGTGAAATCCTATGCTTCAATCTTTACATCTCTTGGGAAGTTTCCCAACATTCCTTAACTGATCTTCGTTATTATAATTTCCTAATTGATGACTTTGCGTAAAAGGTATTGCGCATCATTTTACTTACAGCATATATATGCATCCGTCAAATAGGAAATAAATGAAGTTTATATAGAATGTCATATACTAGAAGAGTTTAATTAAATACGCAATCATGATTTGTATCTCGTACGTTGGTTGATACGTTAACTGTACCTCCATATCTCCAGGAATCGATGTTTTGTCTTGAATGCTTCATTTCTTTGAGATTATCATTATTACCGATTAAAGCGTTAAGCATTAAAATTGATACAGTTTATAACGAGGCGAATGGCACTTCCATACAATTTGTGTCAAAGAAATTTTTCTTTTTAAAACATTGAGGTAGTAAATTGGGAATCGCTGACTGCACCAAATCGTACGCATTTAAAAGCATACTTAACAATTGCAGCTTGCTAGCGATCTCAATTTCATGAAATTTTTTAAGAGGTAGTATTTGAAGGTTAACAGCACTTAGTTTTGAAAATGTAACTCCAACTACTGTACAATACAAACTATTCCTTGCAAAAGTACATGGATCGAATTTTTTTCTCGCACAGATTACGTCACCAGTTGTTTGCCTGGTCCACAAAAGTAGGCAAATATAGCAGATACTCAAGGAACGACAGGCCCATCAATTCATTTCTTTCACCCGACTACGCATATGTCTCGTCAAAGTACTGAGATAAATAGTACGAAGATAACTAATTTGTTAACATCTACGGTAAAGCTATTAACATAGATTTGTTTTGAAGATGTCATCGACTGAATGTATCTGTTACGTGGCACATTCATAAAATATTTGATTTGTTAATCAAGGATTTCAAAAATTTTCATGAGCAAATTAGTTCAAGATCTTTCCAATGACAATTTCAAGAAAATTGACTAGGCGGTCAAAAATGCAGAAGAAAAATCAAGCAAAAATATGGTATAAAATTATTTTTTTTCTACCTCCTTAAGTGCAATGGACGAGTAAGAATCTTAAAGTATGAAAAGCTTTCTTACTCGAAAAAAAAGAAAAAATTGATAGTGATTTGTAGGACAATTCAGTTTCACTTGTCCCATTAAGTTCATACGGATTGAGAAACAAAATTAGTAAACGACTGATATCGAAGACTAATTTATAGTGCTGGAATTTCAGTTGCATTTCATGAGAAAAGCTTTAAAATTCTTCTGTTTATTAAGAGTAGAGAAATAAGGATCTCTTTTCTAGAGTATTAAAATAATAAGCTTAATGATTTCATCGCAGAAGCTAACTGAACTGGAGCAGATTAAGGAGGAAAAGCTTAAACTGAATGAATGTTGATTGCTGAAACAGCCTCCTTTTAGGCACCAAAATATGAAAAATAACCGATTAAGATAAAATATATTAGAAACTTATAACAGTAAAACTTTATAGTTGAATGAAGATGTCAAAAGTTTGCCTATTAATAAGACAGTTATTATGTTGTAGTGACAAACAGAGAGAACTTTTTTCGTCTTGAACAAAAAAACTAATTAAACATGTACACGTTCGGTAATTCCAAATGATGTACACGTGTGTCCTAAACGCGTGTGACCCGCTACTTTTTGATTTCTCACATTGCATATTTCTGAGTCCACTCACGAGCTAATTGATTATACCTGCAATGACCAACTTGTTTAGTCTCTCAAAATTATAGACCTAACGGAATAGAATAAAAAAAAAGAGTCACTGTGATATAATCTAAATTTTACTCGTTTCTAACAAAACTGATATCCGGATAACGTAGATAATACATACAACACCAAACACCAGACCGCGACAGCACCTCGAACTTTGAATATAAAAAGTCCGTCTAAATTTGCTGATTGCATATGCATACGATTATTCCAGAATTGACGTCGTCATTCCATAGTTATATAAGTTATATTACGTCTTCAAATTTAATAAACAACATTATGGCTAAAGTTTTTCCGAAAACTTTCAATTCCCCTTGGCATCATCAGATCTTACTATTTTTTTCGTTGGTATGAGAAAATCTTTATGGGTGAGATGTTCACAGAATTATGAATAAAATAACTAATTAAAAATTTCGTTTACATACTTTTTTTTACGTATTTTTACATAGTGTTCCTTAAAAAAAAAATACCTACCTATCACGATCTGTTTTGTAAACGCGAGCAATTTCCGGTACCAGCGGATCATCTGGATTTGGGTCGCAAAGAAGCGAACAAATCGACAGAAGTACTTTGGAAATAGTAAGTGCTGGCGACCATTGAGAACGCAATATATCCAAGCAAATGCTGCCGTTGCTGTTGATATTTGGGTGATACATGCGCGTTGTAAATGCTACCTTCGGCGGTTTGAATGGATAATCCGTTGGAAAATGAATTGTTAAGAAGAAGACACCACCTAAATTCTTTTTCAAAAAGTATAAACAAAAAAGACTTTCAAACTTTCAGCTGATTGGAAAAAAAATGCTGTGACATTTTTTAGGTAGGAAATATCCTTTGATTTTTTATTTCTTAGAAAACTTAATGATTGAATAGCTTGTCACACATCAAATTAACTTATCATATATTAAGCATGAAACTTATATGACCAACTTATCATAACTAAGCATTATAATGGCGACGTAAGCTAATATAAATATCACGATTCGAAATATTTAAGAAACTTAGAATGTTTAATATGTTTAAACAGAAATCTGAAACAAGAAGTTTGATAATTACACTCTGTACAGAATCTAAAATTTACATACCTTGATAAGGTGATTCAGGTGGACCCATTATTGTCGCTTGCCAATGAAACAAGTCGTCACCAACAGGGCCTGCACTGCACTGCGCTGGCGGATCACGACCTAAATCCTGAAGCTCTTTCTGGATTCGCTTAAGTGCCATTTTACACTGAAGCAATGTGTTCGACCGGTCCCAACACTGAGATATAAAATGTTAGTAATTAATTTCAAGATTATTTTATAAAAAAGTTGACAAGTGAAAAGTCGTCACAACATCAGGAATAAGTTGAAATGAGATATGATACCCTACCAATTCTTAGGGCTTATTTTTAGGATTAAAGCAAATATCAACTCCTCCTATACATCTGATGAGTCTTAAAATGACATATTTAATCGTGATAACAAGCAGAAAATCCGTTGTACATAAAAAGTGTCTTAAAGAATAGAAATCAAAAATAGCATGAAACGGCAGATCGAAATTCAAGACATATACTAGAAAGCACATTGAGACAATGTTATGCAAGTATTTTGAACATTTTTTGAGAAATTAAACTTTAAAGAGGAAGGCACAAGTGAAGCAAAATAATTAATAAGTAGATAAGTAAAACTGAACACTAACAACCATACAACTCTATTTCAAAGTATATGTTTCTAATTTCGGACTTGAAAAAAGAAGAATGACTTCCATTTTGGATTAAACCAATAACCATAAAACAATACAGGGAAATTGGCATCTCATTAGGAAGAAATCACAACAAATGCAAATTTTAAGCTTGAGATAATATTATACATAAACTGCTCCCATCATAAAGAGTCAATTTAGATGAAATTCAATCAGGATACCATCTTATCATGACAGAGATGGAAAGATGGTTGGTTCAAGGAACTCCACAGCTATCAATAAATACTTCAACAGATTTAAAGAAAAAAGCTTTTAAATCTGATAGTGAAGACTAAAGTTCGAGTAATTCAAACTGTGACTTAATGGATTAAAAGGAGTGACTTGACAAAACTTTAGTATTTAACATCTATTGAAGAATATATTTCACTTTTTTTGACATTAATTATGTCATCACAAGTTGTCTTACATTAAACTATCAACATCTACCAGTAAATATAAAATGTATCGTGTGCTGCAAAAATACAAACGGATGGACGAAAATGAGCGAAATCATTGTCAATCAGCAGAAACGGAAAAAAGTGAACGCAGAAAAAAACAAAGCATTAAAAGTAACGCCACAGTGGTGTGATACGACTATGTTAGCTTGGAATAATGAACTGATCAAGGGAACAAGTTTGCATTATATCACTTCCAGAAGTGCAAATGCAAGTGCAAGTACAAGTTCCACTTCTATGTACACGCATGGAAAAGTATGGCAATCCGTTGTATCTCACAAATCTTGTTACCCAGCACTACTACTATTACTACTATTTATTAATATAGCTGGATAACCTAAACCTAAATATAGTATTGTCAGAATTAGCAGATCTGATGACAGTTATAAAACAATTAAATATATGGAACTGTAGGTAACTAACGTTACAATTGTAAATCAGTTACAAAGAAGCTAAGTCGAGGAGATAACATCCATTTCTAGCTTATGTCAACCTCAACCCAAACATTGGGGAAAGTGGTTTAAGCTTCGAAACCAGTTCCCATAGAGTTTCATAAATTTCTATTCTACTAACCATGTTATATAACTTGTTGGAAGTGACGGGCTAATATGCGATAATAAAATACAAAAATTTGTAGAGTATTTGGTATTTAGTGGAAAATTCCTCTTTTTGTTAACACTGAAAGAGATTTTTTTTTTTTTTTTTTGAGAGAGATTTTTTCAAAATAAAAGTCGGGGAGAAAATAAGAGGAAATTTTTTGATCAAAATCTTGAGAAACCCATCACAAAAAATGGAAAATTTTCACAACAAAATGAAAAAATTCGGAAAATAGACATGAAAGCTCCCAACAACGGAAAAAATTCGTTCCGGAATTTATAATTAAAAAATATGTCTAAAGCAGGAAACGAAATTAAAACTTAAATACGGTTGCTCCCTTTACTTATTCAGTAATCAATTCTCAACTATTCCTTGCTCTGCCTTTTTCATTCTTTTTTCTCTTATGCACACAATCCGGACACCTAGACACGATGACGTCACCATACGATGACATGATGAATCACTATTACTACAGGGTTAATTGAAAATACTTCTTTCTCCGCCTGGTTATGATATCATCTAAATAAAAAGGCTGCATGATATCATGTTAAACTTTCAGAATGCCACAAATCCGGAAAAGTGTAGTCCTCTCATCGCATTAGCAAGTGCATCGTGCAAATACTTCGCCACTACCACTACCTCATTTTTCTGCCGTAATATCAATTGCAAAACGAATGGTCAAACAAGGAATTACCGGATGTAAAGAAATGATACGCAACCTGCACTGCAACCTAAAATCCACCGCATGAACCAATGAAACGCTCCTACCATTCATCATTCACCTATCTACATTCTCCTATTACCACATGCAGACTTTCGTCTCGAAAGTTAACTTCATTTTGAAATTAATGAAATTTTTAAATGAAATTTATTTTAAAATGTGCTTGAAATGATTACATTCCACGACAGTTCATTTGTTCACCATCACAAAGCAAACTTTTAGCACAGTGAAACGAATTCTTGTTATACGATTGAAATTTTTATCAGTGTGAATTTTTTTCAACAAAACCTGCAATTTCTCACAATTGGTTTCGTATTCTGATATTTAGCATTTGCAAACTTTAATTTAGTTTAACCTTGATTTAAAACAATGATAATATCGATGAAGCATTTAACTGTCTTAGCAACTCCTAACTATCTCATCAACATTACAGAAGTTAACATACATATTTCTATTCAAATTGTCAAATACACTAATTTTAAGTTTTTATCCTCCAAAATATAAATTAACCTAATTGAATTAACAGAAAATATTACAACATTTCAGAACCGAAACACTTCGATACTCCAACAAAGTTGATGAACAGTGTAGTGACATCGAGAAACATAACAGATCATCCTTTCCGGTACTTACAGGCATCCTTTCCGGACGAATTCAAAGGCATTTTACCTTTTATCGCGACTATTTCGGTTATGGTTTCATTTTTCTCCAACTGCTAAAGTTCTCATTAGTTACCTTTGGCTTTATCGTGAATCTATATTGTTTGTCATGATTTTTAACATCCGTAATTTGTCATTGGTTTGAGATTTAAACTTATTATTAATGTTAATCACTAATAATTGCCGTAATCCTTACTTGAGTAACTTTTATTTGTCATATCTTATGTTTTAGATAATCATACTATAAATGTGGCCAACTCGCGTATTATCGCGTAGTGTACGTCGAACATATATGGAATTAGACTTTGCTAAACACATGCCAAAAGAATATGTGGAAAAAGTGAAGCGTACAGTTCCTAAAAAAGTTTATACCAATCGATACGGTGCACCTGATATTGTGCGTTGGACGTATGCTTTTTTATATGTAGAGTAGTTAAATTTTTGAACATTTAAAATCTTCAAAAATTTGACGAAAATATCTTCAGGTTGCATCCCGATGATTACGTACCATCCGATGGACGCCCATGGGAATTAGAAACATTTGAGAAAAACGTACAACGAGCACGTGACTATCACCAACACAAATTAATGCATAAATTCTTTGAGCTAAGGTAAATTTCTTCCATTTTCTTTCGAAAAAACAGTGAGAGGCACTGAGGTTTCCTTTATTTTCAATTAGCTGAATAATTTTCATAACATATGTCCTAATAGGAACTTTAATCAGTGAACTTTTTATTGGTTAAATGGCAAATGCTGTAAGTCCTTCTTGCTATAAACATGCTTTCAAAACCTTTCAAAATGAGATTTAAAATTTTCCGGCTCCCATATCTGTGCTACTACATTAGTCGAATTGTCTGTGGTTTTTTTCTTTTGGGAATTTGAAATTTGGTTTGATATAAAATGTCGTTTGATGTATCAGATTATATTGATTTATAAATCATCAATATGCCTTATCCGGTGTCGTCATCAGTGCTCATTAATGTCAAAAAAGTAATTATGACCTTGGCCTTCGCTTATGATAATTTATCAACTAAAATGTTGATTTTTTTGCAAAAAGTCTATCTAGTTTTTCATTTGTCGTTTATAAGCTACATGTGTTATAATAGGTTGGATTTAAATCTTCGTTATTTTGGTCAAAGAAGCAAACAGTATGGCATCGACGGCATTAGTCTTATTTCTTTTCTCAAAATTTTGTTTTCCTACTGATAATTGACAGTATTTTAAGACATGAAAAAAAGGTGGCCATCCCAGCGGAAGAATGGACAATATTTCCGGGTGATTTGGTGCAGGTGATGATTGGAAAGGACAAAGGCAAAACGGGAGTTGTATCACGTGTTAATAAGGAAACCAATGCTATATTTGTGAAAGGACGACATACCGTGAGCTTTAATTACTATTCTTACCATTAATAATCGATAAAATATTAAAAAAAATATCGTACTGTTACTAATCTTTTTATTTATAATTACTACAAATTCACCTGTAATTTTTTATTTTTGTTTTTGTCTAGTCGGGGAGCTGTAATCCGATGATTTTCGTTCTTTATATATATATATATATTTAAAGTTTTTATAGAAACTTATCAACGATTCCGAAAACTTCAGTGACATGGATCCTCTTTATCGACAAATTGAGCAACCTTTATATGTTCATAAGGGACAAGTGAAGCTAATCGACCCAAGTGATAAGTATGTTGTCAATCGAAATTTAAGTGATTCAGTTCAGCTGTTTTTTAATTAAAGTTGTCTATGCGATATCCCTTTTTTTGTGTAGTCGGGGAATTATTCCTGTATATGATTATTCAACATTATTGTAGGTTACGCATGAGCTTGCATTGGCTGTTAAAGAAAATTCACATATTCAACTATCTACTGTTCTATTCATTCATTCAGTTGACATGACATCATTTTTCTATTTTAGTGAACCTTGCGAAGCAGCCTGGGTGTTAAATGAGGAAGGGAATGAGTATATCAGGATCAGCAAGAAGTCCAAATTCCAGATTCCAGTGCCACAATTGGCTCGAGTTACTTCAGAATACCTGAGTCCCGATCGATATGTTGGTATGTTTGTTAGGTTTTGGAGTGACTGTAAGTATTCGAAAAGATATAGTTATAGATGAATAATATTTATCTGCTAGCTCCATTGTAATATGAGACTAGAATCCATATATCAGCTTATGAGATGATTTCTAGTCACTCGTGATGAAAAGATATTTGCTGAAGTAGTTTATCACAAGATTCTATTACAGAAGTGGAAGGTAAGGATACACCTGCAGAAATTGTCCTGGAAAAAACCTACAAACCTGTACTCAAATCATTTGAGGAAGAAATTGCAGATGCAATGGGTATTCAAGATAAGCGTAAATTACAACCATCATATTGGTATTGATCTCGTGTGCATATCATAAAGCAAGGTTTTACTTGTGATATTTGATGATTAAAATTGCAGTAAATTAAATTAAGAGGTCAAGCGCATAGAATTAAAAAAAGCGCAGTAGATTTGAGTCTGAATAAAATCAATCGATAAATTTATTGGATTATGCTTATCACTTATAGGTTCAGTTATCTGAAAGTACAGAAAAGGTTTTGCGCATTAGTTCACCAGTAGATGACATATTTTTTGTTTCATGTTTGAAAAACATTCAGATTTAGGAATTGTCTTTTCAATTCCTTGATTTCGATGAAAATCATATTCTCCTTAATCGCTTGGTGGTTACTTATTATAATATACATCGATTGAATATGCCTTGTATAAATTAGTGATAAAATGATAGAAACTTTGTCACATATAGGCTTCACTTCCACATAGAATCCGATAGAGTCATCACATGACAAAGACTTGACAATATAACGAAAAAATAAGTATATTTTTGTATTTTTAAGCAAGGTGGAAGTATCTTGCAAAAAGCAAATAAAAAAAAAAAAAAACTGCTATCATTGTTTCGGATTTTCCTCGACTTATCCATAGTAGGTATATATAGTTTTTTTTTTTTTTTTTTTTATAAACTATGCATTACTATTGCTTGCAGAATCTCCTTATAATTAATTAAGGTAAAATTTCATATATCGGCTTTTTAATTTTAATTTCCTTTCTTTTCACGTAATAGAAGTAAACTTTTGTAATTACATGTGAATTTAAGGAGGTTGTTGCGCATAATGTTTATTTCTTATCTTTACAACATTGAGCGATAGCATTGTAGTTAAAAAAATTATAAAACTAAAATTGATAGAAAATACCAATTAATTTTTATCATTAATACTAAGAAGCGAGAGTAACATGATGATTTGAACATAACCGTTTCATTTTTTAAATGATGAAGAATTAAAATATAATGTATCGTTATGCAGAATTTCGGGTTG